CTAAAGTTCAGCTATGTTAAACCCACCGCATACCCCTGACCAGTCTGGTTACCGTTAAAAAAGAAAACAAAAGTGGACTTCCAAGGCTGTTCTTTATGAACCTTACACAGTGCTAATGATCAACACAGCTTCCAGTGCTAATAAATTATTACTGCTTAAATAATTCTGCCCTGCAATTTTGCCCATAATCACCTGAATGCTTTATATAATCTCTTTTTGCGGGAGGAGGACATTATGTTTGGCAAAGTAGAGGGCCAACAAGGGCAAGAAAGACCCTTGGTGAAATGGATTTGCACCGTGGCCACAAAAATGGACTTGAACACGCTGGGGATTGTGAGGATAATGTCGGGTAGCATTTTGTTCTGTTGTACATGGGCTTGACATGCGTGGGAATCAACTTGGTGGCAGCTAACAACCATAACGTACCCTGGGCTGGAATTCATTTTACTGTTGAGTATTGTACTCTTTTTGCCTTGAAAGCTATTCTCTTTGATAAAAAACAGGGAGCCGAGGTGAAGAATCCTGCTTTCTATTTCATGCACAAGCAGACCATTATCAATTGCTAGAAGGGAACTTACCCTTTTTGTGCAGATCTTAACTTTAAAAAGCCTTTTTCTTTGCCATGTATGAACAAGAATGAAAAATACGAAAGGTAACCAGGTGTAAGATATTGGTGAGTGCGTGACTTTTGGGATAAGTGATCTGTGTGAGCCTAAGGGGAATATTGGGGTGGAGAGAGCACTCAGAGAGGGTGTGCATATGTGTTAGAGTGTGATGGTTGCGCAGAGATGAACAGGGAACAAATCCTAGTGATGGAGGTTTTGTTTGTGGCAAGCATTGTATGGGGTTGGCATCTACTGGTGTAGGCTGAACAGCCATATCCCTCTGCTCACTTGTAGTCAAGAGAGCACAGGCTAGAAGAGAACTTGCGAGGTCATCCAGGTTATTTCTGGAAACTTCAGGTCAAATGACTACCCTACAACCTCAGGTTCTTGAGAACCGTCTGATTTGAAATGTTTCCAAAGAAGAATCCTGTCTTACCCTCTACAGCCCATTTGAATGTTTGACCACACTCAGTGCTACACAATCTTCACTTTGTCTAACCTAAATTCTTCTAGCTGTGGTCCAAGCTCTTAGAAGAATGAAGCCTCTGTGGGATAAGAACCTCCTTGGCAGCATAAGTTGCCCTAGGCTGTCTGGGAGGGCCACTGCATGGGTACAAGGGTGCTGTGGTCCAGTGAATAGTCACAGCCATTTCCAATAAGAGTACACAAGCCTGGTGCGATTCTCGTTTTACTAAGAGCCTGCTTCACAGATCTCTTAATCTAGAAAGGAAAGGTCCTTGGTTCTATGATTGGCTTTGAATGCCAGGGCTTACTGAACACCTTCAGCATATGGTCTTTCATCTCCGAACTGGTCCAGAGGCATGTAAGGACAGAGAGTGTCCGCCATGGACTGGTGTTGGGGTGTACTCCCTGTGTTATTGAGTCAGATGAATTAAATGTGCCTTCATGCAAAACCCAGCAGAACAAAAGAATTCCTGAAAGGTTAGAGAGAAAAAACATTTTAGGGAAAACCATGGATATTTCTTGATCTTTCGCTTTTAGAATGAGCAGCAGAATTGCAAACTGAAGATTGATCCTGCATGTCAGTTAGGACAGGATGGACTTAAAACATCCTAGAAGAAGTTTTTCTAAAAGACTCCTGAGGAGTCTCGGCAGCCAACTACTTGGAAAAGTAAAATTCCTCCAACTGGGAGCTAGCACAGCATCAGCATGAGATGACATTGGCAGCAGCATGGAAAACATGGGTGTCCCACTCTGTCCGTTTCCTTGTGGACATCACAAGTATCCTTCCTTTCGTCCTCTGTGGAGTGGCCAATAACAATAATAGCTAACATTCATCCAGTTATCCTTATGAAATATGGATTGGGACTGGCCAAACTCTGTAGTGAGATGACTTTCCTGCTATAGTCTACATGAATCTCCTGTATGTAATTTAGGTTTACTGGTTATACTCTGGAGCCCTGGTGGCACAGTGGTTAAGAGCTATGGCTGCTAACCAAAAGGTCGGCAGTTCAAATCCACCAGCTGCTCCTTGGAAACCCTAGGGGGCAGCTCTACTCTGTCCTGTAGGGTAGCTATGAGTCGTAACCGACTCAATGGCACCTAACAACAACAACAACAGTATTGATTGAGCATTTTCTATGTTCCAGCACTATACTAAGTGCTTGACATATTATCACAGTTAATCCCTGCAGTAATAATACAAGGTAGGCAGGTCCTATTTTCACTCCCATATCACAAATGAGAAAACTGAAATCTAGGGAAGTGACTTGCTTTACTCAAGAATATACAGCACAAAGGCTCAAAGGTCTGCACACATAACCACTGTGACATCTTGCCTCTGAGAACCGTGGTGGGCAGTGGAGGCCAGGGCTACTCTCACAGACGGCGCATGTGAGGGCAAGCGCTGACACGGGGTGATGCAAAAGATGTAGAAATACATGGAAAAGGTGACTGCCATTTCTGAGCACTAAAAGAACTTGTAAAACAAATATGCAAATGTGAATTTTATGTCATCTTGGTGGTTGGAAAACTGGCTACATAGTAGATTGGGCTCTGAAAATCAAATGGTAGAATAAGGGGGAAAGAGAGAGGACAGAACTGACTTATTACCCTGAGGAATAAAGAGTGAGGATAGGAGGGGGAGGGAAAGAACTGACAGGGAGTAGAGGTGATGTAGGAGCCGGGACAGGCTGAAGCAGAGGATGGCACTCTTAGCTTTGGTTCTAATCCACCACAGGAAGAAGAGGAGACTACAAAACCTGTTCATAGCCGCGCTCTGGCCTGTTTTTTAAACCTGCAACAGTTTAGAGGAACATATGACCACTGAGCTCATTTCCATTGCAAATGACCAAGGTTGTATCTGAGTTTTATCCTCAGATGATGTAAAATGAGAAGTTACAGGACCCAGTGTGACTCTGAGCCAGGGGCAACTACAGTGGGCTGTCCAGCCATTTTAAGTCAACATTGCCCAACTGAAGAATCAGATGGCGATGCCTGGGAATAAAGAAAATATAAAGCTCAGTGGCGTTTGCCCGTGAAACTGTCAAAGCCAATTCTGGCGATGGAATATTTTCAAAGCAACGTGCACCGAATTAAGGTCAATAAATGATGAAGGGGATGTTTTTATTTTTACCTTTTTCTTTGCTACCAAGTTACATCAGCTCTGCGGCTGTAAACATGGCAGCTGCCGAGGTAGGCGCCAGGCATACTTTCTTCCTGATGATGCCACATGAGCCCGCAGGGTGGGGTGGTCAGGAGTTACTGAAACACAAGAAGTTTCCTCTAGGAGATAATGAGAGGGTTGGAAACCCTACTAAGGCTCAGTGGCTACCCCAGGGGTTCAGACAGCATTTACAGAATCTATTATGACCCAGACTATTTCCTCTTCCTCATAGAAATCCATGCCTGGATTGCATCACTCTGGCCTGATCCAGTTCCTTGGGGATGGATGTTTAGCAGCTCCAGGCCCTTGATATGCAAATCATACAATTTCACTGCTGATAGATGGCACTGCCAATGCTGTCCTTCCTGGCTGGCAATTTTATCTTGTGCTCCTTGCTAACCCTAGTTTCCACCTGTGGCGGATTAATTGCTTTTGTGTGTAGCCTTTCTAGCCATGGTCTTGTAACTCCCACCCAGGTGATTGTGTGATAGGGTAATTGTGGCCCACAGAGGGGATTGGTCAGTTTTGCCTTAAGAGAGCTAATTCCAGAGCAGAGGGGAGGAGCCCACCACCACCAAGGAAGGAGAAACCAGCAGGAGACCCAGCAGCAGGAGAGGGCGTGGTGGGCTTCCTGGCCCACGGAGAAAGCTAAGTGCCTTTGGGCAGAGACTGAGGGCCAGGGAGAGGTGTGTCTTTGAGCACGGCTGGGGAGAGGCTGTCCTGATGGAAGAATTCTATCCTGAGTGTTCTTGAGCCTGAATTGTAACTGTTACTTCCCTAATAAACCCCATAATTGTGAGTATGGTCTGTGAGTTCTGTGTGGCCATTGCAATAAATTATCAAACCCAGTAAAGAGTACTGTGGGAGGGAGAGTTAGTGTCAGAAATGGTAAAGATGGTGGAGACAGGAGGCATGTCTGACCTCCAACTCATAGGAATCAGCCTTGAGCTGCTGATCTTGGTTCTCCTTCCCCCTTGTGGGGTTGGAGGAGGTCAGACACCACCTCCAAGCTGTTTTTTACAGCACCCTTTTTATTGTTCTCAAAATTCCATGAAGTGGGAATAATAGAATTGACCTTAATAGAAGAATCTCACTAAACTGGGGTGAAAGTAGGGACTCTGGAGTTAAACTGCCTGGTCCGAATTCCGGCCTTACTACTGATAGTTGTGTGACTTTGGGCAAGTTACTTAAACTCCCTGTACCTCAGTTTTCGCATTTGTACAATGAAGATAAACATACCCACATCATGGGGTAGTTACTGTGTACATAATTTAAATTCAGTTTTTAGAATAGGGCCTCACACATAATAAGCACTCAATGATCGTTAGCCATTACTACTATCTTTCGCAAAGGTTGATCAACATCTCAGGGCAAATCCTTTGCAGTTATTCTCCTTTCAAATACTCAAGACCGCATGTCTAATTTAGTTAAGTCAGTGTGTATAACAGCTTGAGGGAGTAGGGTCAAATCGGTGTGGTGATGAGGACTGGGCTGGGGAGGACGGCAGGGTGATAATGTCTGAGTATTTCTCAAGATTCCTTATGCAGGAGGCAAGAGGATCTGAGGGATGAAGGGTCACAATGTAACCTCATTTTGACCCCCAGGCAACCAGCTGAGCTCCAGGAAGCTGGCAGCCCCAGTGGACTCAGCACTTGCTGACTGAAGGGCTCACTGCCAGCCTGGCGCAGGAAGTGCAGGCAAGGGTAGGCTTGTGATCCCTCAGAAGGGGGATGTGAGGCTTAAGAGAACTGATGAAAGATGTGGAGGTCTAACCCTGGGACTGGAGATTTTGAGTTTGAGATGAAACATCCTGTATTCTTCTCTCTCATCATATATACAAGAGGGAGGTGAGAAAGAAAGCGTCAGAAATCCAATCGTACCAAAATTATTAGCTGTTGGATAGCCTGTCTGACAACTCTCGGATTATCTCAAAAGAATGGACTTAACCCAAAGTACGAGACCCAGGTAGCAGGCTTGAGAATAGACTGTGGACAGGGAAGCAAGTGATCATGCAAACTCAACAAAGAGAACGTTTTGCTTCCTTTGTGTGACTATGATCATGAATGGATCTTGTAAAAGAACACAGGAGGTATACTTTATTCTTCATGGTTTTCTGCCAGCATGAACCAGATAAAAGCAGCTAATCAACCCCACAGGGCAGTAGATCCTGAGCTATAAGGTAGTTGTGAAGGCCAAAAAGTTCCCAAATCAGTATGATCCCTCACTTTCCTGGAAGTCTGTTGGATTAGAACTTCAAAGATTTACACTTTAGCTCTGGGTCCACTCCTTACCAAGTCTGAAACCCTTGGGTCACCCACTAACTCAGCTTTGCTGAGCCTCTGTTTTCTTCTCATTTGTAAAATGTAGCACAATATTCACACTGTAAATAGTGGAAACAGTGGCTGAATGACCTGCTTACATCATAGGGATGTTGTGATGATCTAGTGAAATTATGTAGGTGAGAGTGCTTGTGAACTGCTAAGTGCCACACAAATGTAACAGGAGGATCCTATCTATTCTTTCCATTCAAAAGTAATTTTTCACCATGAGATACAAAAAAATAATCCAGGGCAGGTTGTCAGTACTAAGCTGATAACCCTCGGTTGCTCTGTAATTCCTATACCTTTCATAGTTGGAGACTGTGTTCTGCCCAACCAAAGGTGAGCAGAGGTGACATGTGTCCCTGCTAGGAGAGGTGAGCAGCGAGCACTTCTTCCATCTCTCTCTTCCCTGACTATGACAACCTTAGAAACTCCACTTTCCAGATTAGTTCCAAGACAGAGGAGGGCCATCAAACTTGCACTAGACTTTATGTGAATGAGAAATACACATTTATTATGTCTTGCCACTGGGATTTCAAGGATTAACTGGTTGCAGCAATGCTTTGCAGTCATCACCCTGATTACGAACAGAAGTTCTGGTCAGAGAGCGAAAGGCAATTTCAGGGATACACAGATGATCATGTCAACCTCTCCTTTCTGGAATTTGCTTTAAGTCAAGGGTTCTATCCACTTTGCTCCAAGCTTTAATTTTGTTTAGAAATATACTTCCCTGGCATCAATACTTTCAGACAAAAAAATTTCTTTTGCTAAAAAAAGTATTTATTTCCAGCCAGATAACATTTTCCAACTACATAGACGGTTACATACTGTAAGCTCCTTCTTTGATAAACGCATGTGTTCTGAGATCCAATTCTAATTGTTAAAGTTTATACCAAACAAACATCATTTTCTCTTAAAGTATAATTTAAACACACTGCTAACGTATAAACCACGACATGAGTGGCGTGCAATTCTTCACTTACGAGTCCAGAGCAATGTCCACACATTGTCCCATGATGAGATCCCATAGGTCAGCAGGCAGCAAGTGCCTCTGGTTCTGCCTGCTGACTATGTGGAAAGTTGCTTTGGAGCAGTGACTTTTCTTCTGTGAAAAACAGTTACGTGCAGAAAAAGAAGTATCATGTATGCAGTGTGGAAAGGCATTTCACAGAATGCAAACAATATCCAGGTAAATTAATGAACTCAAGAATGAAGCTCCATTAATGAAAATCTGTTTACACAATTGGGTGTTCTGGCACCTTTTCACTGGGAACTCAATAAATATCTATTAATTGAAGGTAAGAATAAGCAATATTAGTTGTCTTGGTACATCAGCGTATTTTTTTGAAATTGGGCTTTAAGTTGTGAGTTTTACTGATGACATTTTTTGTTTCTTCAGAGTAAATCATTCTATTTAGAAAGCCATTCATTCCTTTTAAATTATCCTTAAATTCTTCATTAGCATTTGGAGACTTTTTTGCAGATGGCCAGTCTTGGGGATTCACTGGCTCCACGAAGAGCAAAAGTGGTCCATACAGTCAAAGTCTTGATTTACCTCTTGAGGTAAAAAGCCTGCTTGGCTCAGAATTTTAAAGATTGAGTTTATTCTTCATACTTTTTCTCCTTTTGGCTCCTGTTACTTTCCCAAGCCCCAAATAGCCATTGGAAACACATAAATTGAGCAGATACTTCTTGAAATCTTACTTCAGTATCAACTAATTCCAGAACCATGGCTCCCTCAGGACTTGAAATAGTTGATCTCTTGAAGCTCTGTCCTTCATAGAATTCTCCATCTGCTCCTTGAAGGTAAGGTTCTTGTTCTAAGGCTGATACTGGGCTGTTCCCACAAGGAAATTCCTGGAAAATCTTGATTCCCTTTTGATTCTCATATACCATCTCTCTCATTCCCCGTAAGGCTACGGTTGCAATTCTGGAGACACATAGGAAAAGTTTCTAAACTCATCTTGGTTAATCATAGGAAGATGTCCCTCATCAATTGGGGTTAAAACTGGCTCTTCCTTTATGAAGTCAGGGTCGAAATTACTGACATCTTCTCGGGATTTCTGTCAAAAAGGAAACAAGGGTCAGATTTTATGCACTTGAGACTTACTCATCTTGCATGGGACTGAGCCTGTTCCAATGATTTCAGGGAACTGCTCTGTAGCTCCATTAGCAGCATTATTCACAGTTGTGATAATGATGATTAAACAGTACTTTATAGCAATTCCACTGCATCATCTATTATTAAAGTATTTGGTAACCACCAATTCACTAATCCCATGAAAAATCTCGCTGAGCAGGCCAGCCTCCGGCTGGGAGGTTAAGGAATTAGTTGGTCACCTGAACCAGGTGGCCCTCTCACCCTTTATTCTCCATTCACTGAGGCTCCACTTTTCAACTGCCCCTACTGAGGGGGCCCTCAGCTCAAGTATTTGTCAACAGAGATTGAGTAAATTCACACTTGCCCTACCTATTGCTTGCTTGAGGAGATTTTCTCTGAGAAACTTCAAGAAACGCCAAGCTTAGGGAACAACTGCCTCTCATTTTTCTCACTGGTCAGATGCATTATGCCCTGCTGGGACAGCTGTGCCGTCCAGACTACAGGCTCCAGCCTCTGAAAGCAAAGTGTTCCCTAAATTCAGAGAAGCTTCTAGGGGGTGCCCATTAAACAAAATGGCTTTGCCTCTGGATGCCTGGTGTCTAATGGTTCAGCAGGCTGTTATAGATTAAGCTAGCTGTATGTTTGGAGACGAGTCCTTGGGTGGTGCAAATGGTTAACACTTGGCTGCTAACCAAAATATTGGAGGTTTGGGTCCATCCAGAGGCACTTCAGAAGAAAGGCCTAGTGATCTCTTTCTGAAAAATAGGCCACTGAAAACCCTATGGAGCACAGGTCTACTCTGACACACATGGAGTTGCCATGAATTGGAGTCAATTTGATGGCAACTGGTTACTGGTTATGTTTGGAGAAGTTGTGTATTTTATATCTTTATAAACTAATGCTGAATAGATAATTTCTACCAGTATTAGACTGCCAATTCTCTTGCTACAGTCAACGACAGTTCTCTCTCTGCCTTGGGACCATCTCTCCTCCTCATAGCTCTCCATCTAGTGCTATGTCCAGCTTCTCTGCATTCCCACCGTGCAGTATGTGACCCACAGATGAGCAAGAGCTCAGCTTGCAGACTGTGAGCGGGACGTAACTCAGGAATGCCACTCTACTCAGCCACACAGCATGGGGAGGCACCCCTGGTTCTCCCAGTATTCCTCCCGATAAAGCAGGCTTGGTCCATTCTGGCCTGAGCTTTACGGTGCGGTAGCCATTACAGATTTGGCGTCTCTGAGGCAAGGGGCCTGGGTCCAGTGAAGTGAGTAACATTTTACATCCTGTCTACTTTCTTAGGGGCTTTGGAAAGGCACAAAAGGCACCCTGACTGAGGGGCCTGAGGAAATTTGGTTAGGAACAATGAATTTTTCAGTTAGCCAAACTCTTTTGGAGAAACCTGGAAAGTTTCAGGCCCCTCAGAAGCCTGGCAGATTTCAGTTTAGGTTAAGGGCAAGTGAGAGGTGAAAACTCCATGAGAAGTACCTGGGCACGTGGAGAGATGTCGCCTCAGGGGCAAGAAACCCAGCCTCCTCCTGGTTGAGGCTGCCCTGTAAAGTGTCAGGTTGAGCTTCTGGTCTGGGCATTCTACAGGGGCCATTTGGCTGCCCAGTGGATTTTTGACATTTAAAAAGGAAAGCTGGTTCTATTATAATGGCCTTGGGCACTTACGATTCTGGGTCTGAAAGGTGGTTCTATCTGACGATGGTTCAGCTCGGCCCAGTCGATTTCCTTAAAGAAAGGATGTCTCAAGATGGCGTGCTCACCTCCCTGAGGCAGGCTGCCCAAGCGCATGGTGGGGTTTTTGGTCATGAACTGAGAGAGGGAGAGAAAGTAAATATTCATTCACATACATCAAGTATGTCACAAGATAGCAGGCATCAGCTATGGCAGAGGAGCCTGTGTGAGGCTGTCTGGTTGATCTTGCTTAACTAGCTGGATTTTCCATCATGGGCAGCACAGCAAAGCCAGCATGAATCATCCCTAAATGCGCAACTGCTTGTGTGTATTTATGGCCTTCCCCACTTCATTCAGACACGGCCACTAAAAGAAAGCTGAAGGGTCTAGTTCTCTTTTCCATAACCACCACGTATTTTTCTTTCCTCTTTAAAGAAAAGAAGATTTTTATAAAATAGTCTGCCTTTCTCCAACACTGCAGTTGTAGACAGCAGGCATCTTATGAATGGGGCTACTTTTAGGAACAGCTGTGCTATTTTTCTGAGAGACCTGACCAGCCAGCCAATATTCCTGCTCTCTGACAGGACCAGAGAGAGAAGAGGGGGACTTATTATTTTGAAAATCTGTTTAAGGAAGCATAAATGGTAAAAAAACAAAACTTAAAAGTCCTTTTTTTCTGGCTCTAGGAATAACAAAGTTGGCCACTTTATGTAACAAAGACATCATAGTTCTGGGTGAAAATTTTTCTCTTCAGGATGCTTTTTCCCATTATGAAATAGGTTTAATAACTAGGAATCTGTTATTACATAGACCAAAAATTAAAATAAGCATTGTCACATATTCAAGCAATGTGTGTATATAAATCCTTTGTATTTATATCAATTAGGAAATTGAGGGTGAGCTCCTATAAAGATTTTTGAGCTAAATCCAGTTTCACAAAATAACCAGTAAAGATATTTTGATCACTTCCTGGGCAAGGGCTAAAACCAAAACCCACTGCGGTTGAGTCAATTCTGACTCACAGCAACCCTATACGACAGAGTAGAACTGCCTTATAGAATTTCCAAGGAGCGCCTGGTGGATTCGAACTGCTGACCTTTTGGTTATCAGATGTAGCTCTTAACCACTACGCCATCAGAGCAAGGACTAAACCAAAAAACCTAAACCAAACCCATTGCCGCCAAGTCGATTCCAACTCGTAGCGACCCTAAAGGACTAGTGCAGGATAATTCACTTTTCATGGTCAGAATGTGATTCTCAATTTCAAAGACACTTAGGCTAATTTAATTGCCCCTTTTTAAAAGAAAATTACCTTGGATAAAAAGTTTGGTTGTTGCTTTTTATTTAAATCAAGCTATTTAAAAGCAGACCTAGGCAACTTAGGATAGCACCCTTTTTCATGTCTGAATTACGAACAAGACAGAAGTAATGCTATGTTTATGGAAACTGCTTTGGAGTTGAATTTACAGAGTAAATAAAAAGAGACTCTTGTTGAAGGTGCAGATATGAGAAGGTAGTGTTTGGAGGTGGTCACCTCTGCTGTGCCAGGTGTATAATGCTGTAAAGTCACCAGTGTTATTTCAAATGAAAATGATAATGTGGAGAGAAGAGGCTTCAAAGTTCCTAAGCAAATCTGAAAGGAGATACCTCATAAAATGCTTAAAAAAAAACACTTCAAAGAAGAGCTAATAAAACAACGAAGACACTGATGGGATATAATGGCTACTTCTTTCTTCCAGGGACAAGGAATTAAAAGCCACAGGTGGTGCTGGATTGGAGGTGGAACTCAAAATAAAAGGAGAATTCTGAGCTACACAGTTCCCATCAGAGAACTTACCACTCCAGGCACTTACAATGGTCAGTGTAGAGTCAGGAAATACATATTTTATAAATAAACTAGGTTTTGTAAGAGCTAAGAGTTCACACTGCTTGGCCTCTCCCTGGGTAACCCTGTGCAACTCAGAAAGGAAGGTAAAAATACCTACATAAAAGAAGGAAGTAGGTGCTCTCCTTAGAAAAGTCAATGAGATACGAGCTAATTAACAACAATGACAACAACAAAACAATGCTACAAAAAACTCAGGATACAAGGACGGCAGAACAGACCCAGATGGCTTGTGGGAAACTCCCAGGCCTGCCAATGATGCAAGCAGAGGACATCTTGTGAATGTGTGGGTACAACTTGTTCTTCTGAGCAAGTGGAATGGTCCAGGGCTCTATCTGCCAGGGTGGCGGAAGCCCTGGTGTCTGAGAGACTTTGCTCATTCTTTCCTGGCCCTGGCACCGAATGCAAGCTTTCACGGGGCACTCTGCAAAGGGCAGCGCCTGAGGAAAAGCAGACCAAATTGTGCTGCTCCTCCTCTACAAACTGCATCCCTGGAACTGAGGACAGGCAGAATATCTTTAGCTCGATACTTTGTCTTAGGGTTCTGAGAAATCTTATTGAATAATGAATGGGTTTTGTTTTGACTTTTGTATATCTTTGCTTGAGCCCTTTAGATGCAGCCATGCTCCATTTAAAAAAAAAATCTTTAATTTATGAAGGTTTACAGGGTGTGTATTACATGCAAGGCAGTGTGGAGATACACAGATAAAACATGTCTCCATCAAGAAGCTGATCATCTAGAAATGAGATGAGGAAGCAAACTTCACCAGCACTACAAGGCTGGATAAAATGGAGAGATAGACAAAATGCTGCAGGATCTTAGAAGAGAGACTGGGCAAGTAGCACGCATGCGTGCGTGTGTGTGTTTGCGCATTAGGGGCTGGTAGTGAGAAGCAAGGGATGGCTTCATGGAATAGACTAGGAAGATGAATAGAACTAACATGGGTATGAAAGAAGAAAACAACTGTGCCTAAGGTTACAGCAAGGACAAATGCACAGATGCATACACATGCCTAGTGAATAGCCTAGTACGGCTGGCATGCAAGGATGGTGGGTAACTTTGGGGGCAGCCAGCAGGATCCATCACAAGTATATGAAGAGGTGAGTGACAAGAGCTTCCCTGTGACTTATGAAGATGACTTTAGCCACAGTATGCTAAATAAATCCTGAAAAAGGAGGTAAGAGGCTGGTGACAGGTTGAACAGTTATGAGGTTGAGACAATAGCTGAGAAGACACAAGTTCAGAAACTAGAATAATTTCTAGTTAGGAAGAAGAAAAACTTAGGAGTGAGTCCTAAAAAGCTTGTGGAGGCAGAATGAGCACAATCCACCAACTGCCTGGAGCTAGGATGAAGAGGTAAGGAAAGAGTCTAAGACCACAGGTCCTCCCTGGACTATCTGATGGAGTGGTGGTGTTAAGTAATGGAAACAGGGAACAAAAGAGGAGCAACAGATTATTATTAGTAGTAATAATAAGAGTCGTTGTCACAGTAGTTAATATAGTAGTAGTAGTATTTTGTCAGGGAAACAAAGAAAAACAACTAACATTTATTGATATCTTACAGTATGTCAGGTTCTGGGAGGTGGATGAGCTCAGCTTTGCATTTGCGGTGTGTGGGCACCCACATGGAGACGATTAGCCATGTAAATCTGGAGTGCGGACAAAAGTTAGAGATCTAACATAGACATCAACATTAGGGTGAGAGCTGAAGCTGATTGCAGGCAAGTCTGCAGAGAGAAAGTATACAACTGAGGCCAGCCCCAAGACTCAGACACATTTTATTTGGCCCACAGAGTATTTTAAAATAATTTAATTTCTTGCCAAACATTTAAAAACTAGGAGATGTCATATAAAAGTCCTGTTTTCCAATGTCTCTTGGAAAATGGGATATTCCATAACATTGGGCCTACACTTCTTCTTGACAAAAATGGCCTGGTGTTGAGCAGCGGTGGCCCTGTTTAGATGAGGCATGCAATCTTTAGTCAGCCACATGTCCCATCTGACTGGCTTCACTCAATGACTTTGTCTTGCTCCTGACCATACAGTGGAAAGAATACCAATGGGGCAGCAAGAGGAGATCATGAAAAGCCAGGGGAGGACAAGAGCCATGAAACAGAAACCAAAGGGGAACCATTCCAAGGAGGAGGAGGGTGGTCGGTGGTGCTAAGCGAGTGGAATGTTTGTGGGGGGGGCTTCTGGCCCCTCTATGACCACTCCCCTCCACAGACACAGAGATAGGAAGTTAAGTGGATATTTAACATTCATCCCAAGCAGGAAACCTTCTGTGGTGCATGCTGGTAGAGAGTTGGAGGCAGGAGGGGCTTGCTGTCCTAGACCAGGTACAGGCCTCTCCCTAACCACCCAGTTCCGGGCTGCTGGGAATGGTTACGGCATAATCCTTTTTCAGAAAACTTCCTCTATTTCCTTATGTTCCTAATGGAGCTCAAATGACAAACAAGTTAACAAAAGTGCTTTTAAATGCAATCAATTTAGGTCACACTTAAAGCTGGCTTCACCTCAACTGACCTTCTTCCCAACTGTGGTCCAAAAGAGAAAGTCAGCCAAGGAAGAAAATAAAGTGACTTCATGAAAGAGTCTGGACACACTTACTCAAAAGAAGCAGAATGTTTTCTAGGGCCCATAAAAGCATTTTATAAGCTGCAAAGAGTGAGTGAGGAGGCGCGGTGGAAAATCTACTTCCATCTCAAATGTAAGTCTCAAGCCAACTGAAGAGAAGGGGAAGAAGAGCCGAAGTCAGGAACGCACGGAGTCATTTCATCTTCCTCTCCCTTCCATGGCCAGTATTAAACTGGAATTTAACTGGAGGACACTGAAGGAATCAGTGACATACTTGGCCTTGAGAACGAGAGACTTAACAGTTCTCCCAAGGTTACAGAGAAAGTATGACTAGAGGGGCAAGCTATTATCCATGCTCCTTCTGGAGGGTAGTTCTAAAGTGAATTGTAAGGGATTTAGGCCAGGCTCCTACAAGAATGTCCTGAGAAGCTTCTTGCAGACCAAGGAAGGGCATATGATCTCCACTGATATGGATGGCAGAGAGGTTCACTGCTTGGGCTCTGCACTGTGGCTACCCGTGTTTGTATACCACGTCCACCATTGATGAGCTCTGTAACCTTGGACAGATTTCTTCTCTGGGCCTCACTTTCCTTATCTGTAAAATGGAGATTTTCTTGTACTTCACAATGTTATTATGATGAGTAAATGAGATTATCTTTGTAAAGTGCCTAGCAC